TATAAAAGAGATTATGGAGGGGCTGGGATTGTGGCTCAGTGGTGGAGCACTTGTGTGAGACACTGAGTTTGATTCTTAACACTGCATATAAATAAATGAATAAACATGAATATCTAAATTTTTTTTAAAGATTATGGAAATAATCACATTCATATATAAATATAACACAGTAGTATGATGAATATTCCTTTGTCTTCTTGGTGGGTACATAATTAAATTTGTAGTATATATAATGTTGAAGTCACATGACTTCTTAAAGTTTTATTTAATATTGTGACAACTTTCCTGGGTAATCAAAAATTATCTAAAGCATTATTTTCTTAGATATTAATCTATAATATTATTAACCTTTCCTATTTATCAATGTGTACTGACCAATACCAATAGACTTGCAATTTATAATATTGTTCTAAGCCTTTGATTCCATTTCTGATTTCAATGGAATTTATGACCAAACGTGAATTATGGCTTTAAAGTTTCTTCATAAATATTTAATTTTTTTTCTTAAAATTCTAGTTACAGTTGTGTGTGAAAGTGTACTTTATGCTTCTCAACATTCTTTTTTTTATCGTTTCTTTTTAGTGGTTTGTTTTTTTCTAACTTTTAAATATTTGTTTGAAATATTTGTATTTCTCTGTTTTATAATGAATTCACTGATTGTCATTGTATATTTTTCAACAAATATAATATGAAGAGAATTGGGCATCTTCCCCTAAGTATTTACTCTATTTATATAATACATTTAGAACGATTACTAAATTGCCCCTTCTCAGTAATTCTCATTAATTTTTTTGAATATTTCAATCATATGTGGGTATGTTATAAATATTCTTATATGCTTCTAAATATATATATGGTTTCTTCTAAATATAAATATACATATGCAAGTAACTCATACTTGCAAAGTTTACAATTTACAACGTACATTACCATTACCTTTATAATATATGTTTACATTTAAAAAAATTTTTTTTTATTTATATATGACAGTGGAATGCATTACAATTCTTATTACACATATAGAGCACAATTTTTCTATATTTACATTTTTAATTACAATGATTTTAAGAATGTGGAAGTTGTGGTACATAGGAACCATTGTGGAAAAGGGTCACAATTTATACCATGCATTCAATTTCTATATTTTGCAGTTGTCATTGTCCTAATACCAATGTTCCCAATGTTCAGAATATAAAGTGATTCCAAACACATCAAAAAAGTTCTGAGATAATGTTAAGGAAATCAACAGCAAATGCATGAATGGTAATTTTAGAATGAGCCTGATTTACTTCTGGGGGCTTTTAATTGCAGTCATCTATCAGTTTTAAACTTTCGATGCCTATATATAAAAACGCTGCAATTTAAATAAGCCAGCTGCTTTTTAACGCAGAACTTGAATTGATGAATTTATGAATGAGTGAAGTGATGAGAACAAACAACAAGACTAAGAATATTTGAGCTCCTTTCAAAAACCTAAGCCGTCTATCAGTACCTTGGAGAGCTTCAAATTTGCCACTACCCACCCCCAACATTCTCAGAAAAAAGTTTAGGCGCCAAAGGAAAATGGGTGCATAGATATATGATACGTTTTTCAAAAACCATTTCATTTTTCATTTTGCTGCCACAAAATGGTCTCCCCTTTTGTCCCATTTAGAATGAAACTACACATGATCTGTGATAGAACTCTGATTTACGCAGCATTAAGGTATTTTCTTTTGCTTAGGAAACACATCTCTTTGCCACGTCTTCGCATTAAAACGTCCCTTTCCAGTGCGCTCCTAGGGTAAAATCAGCCTATCTTTCCTGGGGGGGGGTGGAGGGGAGAGGGTTATTCATGGGTAAGATCTATTTCTGAAGGCACTGTGGAAGCAGTGTGAATCTCCCTAGGTGTAGCCAAGAGATAAGCTACCTAGAGGAAGGAGGCCGGAAGATGATTGAGCCCTGCCACCCCCCACACCCCCGCTGTCCATCCGGCCTTCTGCTAAGAGCTATGAGAAGCTTCAATAGCGCCAATCCCCGCCGCGCAAGCGCGCTCTCTGTCCCTAAGAACAACCTCCAGCACCGCCCTCACTGCACCTGCCAGGTCACAAACCTCTTCCTACCCACTCCCGCTCCCTTCTGGAGGCGCAGGCTTGTCTCACATTGATTGGTCGGAGCCCACGAGGGCACGTCCAATCAGCATCCCTTCCTGCTCAACCTATTCCCGCTCTTCCCGCCCCGCCCACTCTGCCCGCCCCGCCCTAGTACCTGCTTTCTTTGTGACTGGTGTGCGCCCAGGTCACTCAGTGCGGCTAGGAGAGGTGTGCTGAAGCGGGCAGG